CGCGTCTCGAGCATTGGCTATGTGTGTGTGACTGTGAACTTTGTAACCGGTGGCAGATACACATGGTGATTGGCGTCGCTAATTTTCTTTTTTGAAAACCGATCAGAACAGATGCTACACTTGATCTTAGCCAAAAGGCCGAGAAAGGTATCTTTCATTTAATTTAGTTCTTCGTCTTTTCTCATTTTCTTCTTCGTCTCCTCCTCGTCCTCCTTTCACAGTTTATAATTTTTGATTTTTCTTACCTTTTTTGTTGTATTATTTTTTTCTCTTTCAGTTCTTGGAATTCGTCTTTCTTTCTCCTCTTCTTCTTCTTTTTCTTGTTGTCGCTGTTTCCCACTTTAGCTCTCCGTTTGGGGGTCCCAAGCACTTGGTCCGGTCAGGCTTTGTATGGTCTTGATTTTTTTTCCCGAACAGAACGTATCTGGTCGTACTAGAACGCAATGTGCATGATGGGACAATAAGGTCGTATTATAAAATGACTATTGCCATCGCACCTTGTCCACTGTTAGGGCATACTCACGCTAGCACTTTACGAAATGTATCTGCCTTTCATTATGGCCAGAAGACGTGAGTGCATCTTCCCGCAATCACGTCTAAAGCCTCGTTGCCAACAAGTCCTTGACAATGTCTTTTTTTTTCTTTTTTTTTTTAATTTGATTTGGACCATTTCTCGATTTATGCGTGTCATCCTTGCGCAGGGGCCATGCTAATCTTTCATTCTTGATTGTGGAGAAATTCAGCGGTAATTGGATGGTGAAAACTGTTATGCGTCATACGTTTCCTCTGTTTTTTTCTTTCATATAAGCTTAAAGATTGCAGCCCTGATGGCTATGTTGTGTGTGTAGAATGGATATGCAGCATTAGTTCCAGTTGGTAGAGCATTCCTACAGGTTAGTGGTTGATATGGGGCACGGATCGATTGCTCCTTGATAAGCTAAACCGGCTGATGCTGCCGGGATAACTCCCGGTAGAATTGTGAGGTTCCCGGCCTCCTTCATTCTGTTGGGTAAGAAGAAGTTGAATTAAAAAAAAAAGAAAAAAACTTTCATTCTCTGTATCGTTCCAATTTTAACGGATGTCCTGAAGGACAATCCGGTGCCAAAAAAAGACTTGACAATGTCTTAGCGTACGCGTACTGTCCCAATCCGTTGCCAGAAAAAGACTACCTTGGCGTTTGTTGTGTTCCCATCTGCCTTTTGGTTTTTGATATATTTTCCTTTTTTTTTTCCTTCTGTTTTTTGGACCATTTCTCATTTTGTTCGTGTCATCCTAGGGGCCAGGGGCCAAGTCCCACTAGCAGCGTGGAGCGACCTCAACGCCTGAATCTGGACGCGTTGGCGGAGATGTGCAGAAATGGTGTTGAGTTTCCTGAACTGCACGTCTCCACAAACACGTCCAGATTCAGGCGGTGAGGTAGCTCAACGCTGCTAGGGGGACTTGGCGCCAGGTCATCCCACGTTGAGCAGGGGCGAGGTCCCTCCGACAAAAAAAGTGGATTGGATTTAGCGCCTGAATGGGTTTTGAGCAGATATGCAGGAAAGCAGATGAAGGACGATTTTCTGCACCTCTCCGCAAACACGTCCAGATCCAGGCGTTCAATCCAATCCGCTTTGCCAGTGGGACCTCCTCCCCCCAGCTGCCTTGCCACAATCTTCTTTCTCTGTATCGTTCCAATTTTGGGCCTCGCCACACCACTCTCAAAATGTGAAAAAGACGAAAATCTGGCGGGTGCATCTGGCCATGTTCTAGCGAGAACTTCATTCTTATTTTGCACATTTCGAGAGTGGTGTGGTGATGCCCTTCATTGAATGTCCCGAGGGATCATGCATGTACATTTTGTCGATCCATTTTTTATTAGTTTTTTTTATTTTTTATATCTGCACTGATCGGGCGGGCCATAGGTCCCGATGGTCATGCCCCCGGGGGCCAAGTCCCACTAGCAGCGTTGAGCAACCTCAACGCGTGAGTTAGTGGAGAAGTGCAGTTCAGGAAATTCAACACCATTTCTGCACATCTTCGCAAAAGCGTCCAGATTCAGGCGTTGAGGTAGGTCAACGCTGCTAGTGGGACTTGCCCCCGGCGGTGTAGCCGGGCGCATTACTTTGGATGATCTTTTCCCTACTACTGTAGGCACACTCTCAGTGGTGTAGCGCTGAGGACAGCCATTCAGTCGCTGTATGGAGTTGAAGTACATCCCACTCTTACGAGTGCTTTCATTCGGTTTTTTTTTTTTTGTAGAGGTAGGTAAGGCACGCAAGTGGCATTCAGGAGGTCTTGGGTTCAATCCCCATTGGCCTCATGCACCTTCCTGGGCAAGCTTGGTGCCGGCCACCTAGAGATATGCCGTTGGACCCCCCGAGTGGCATTGAGCAGAGACTGCTGATGTTCATAGGGGGAGGGGACCGGAGCGGAGGCACAGTTACTGGCCCATCGAAGAAGCTCGGTGCTGATGCTACAGGCTGACCCCCTGGCCGGTATCGCCCACCTGCTATAGCAGGTATCGCATGTGCTGGTGGGTGCAGCTCTCTCATGTTCCCTCGTTGGAGGCTTGAGCACGGATGTGGCTGCTACAGGTTCTCCGTAATACTATAATGATAATAAAGAAGGCCTGAAAGGCCGTTCTGTCCAGATTTGACAGGTAATTGAGTTGGTTGGGCTTAAAGAATTAGCCTTTAAAAAAAAAAAAAAAAAAAAAAAAAAACGTGGGATACTAGACCAATGACAGTTATCCACAGTACTCGGCCACTTGGTTGTCCAGCTGAATCCCTCTGCAGACCCCACCCACCCTTCCTCTTATCATTTTTGCCCTGGCGCACCCCCACCCCCCCTGTCCTACCCTTAGTGTTAACCACCCGGGACCATCACCCAGTGTTATATTGGCAGGGTGACCTGACCAGACAGCGGTTGCAGGCACCCAGGCTAGGCAGAGAGACCTACCCCTCTGCTCAGCCCTGGTTGAAGCAGACGCCGTGCAAGCCCGATTGTGCGGGGACTTCGGGAGCTACCGGTAGGTATGAACATGCTACTACAAGGTCTTCATGAGGGTGCACAGTGTTACGTTGTATTACTACTATTGTGTTTTTGATGGCAGAGAGCTGAGGATCCTCCGTTCCATCGTATATCCCTGGATCCCTTCCCGGCATCGCGGTAAGGTGCAGTATCTCCTGACTAAGGAACTG